TACCACTTGACCTTCCTCCTGTCTCATCGTCTGATTCATCACTTCCCATCATTCCAGATCTTCTAAATCGACCACCTATATCTTCTTTGTTCCAATATCTAATCCTTCCCGATTCTTCTTTTTCTGCTTCTTCCTCAGCTGCCCATTCGTCATCAGCTGCCTTTTCTATCTGAGCAATGAAATCGTCAAGCTCCTCCTGGTCACTGTCTTCAGCTGTTGAATGTTTTTCGTCTACACTACTGCTGTGACTCAACTTGGTACCATAATCCTCCTGAAAAACATATGGGCTTCCTTCTTTCTTATCAATGGCATTGAAGAATGTGGATGCTACTCGCTGGATGCTGGCTCTGGCTGCCGGATCATCAGGATTTATTCCCTTCCTCCGGAGCTCTTGTTCTATTTTCTTTATGTTTAATTTCTGTGATTCTAGGGCTTGTTCGAATCGGGCTTTAAATAATGCCTACAAACCAAAGATAACATTGTCAAACAGAAGGTGTGTGGCTGTGTGCTCATCAACCAAACATGTTCAAATTTTCAGTTCTAGACAAGTTGCAGAAAATCCAGCTCATTACATACAATAGGTATTGGAAGAGTTCACAATTTCACATGGATCAATTTCAATACTACTTCCCGAAAGCAGATGGATCAACAACTTTTCAATAGATGAGACATGCCGTCTACCCATTGTACTACTTTCACATGCAAGAGAATTGAACTTCGGTTAAACTGAATAAAACAAATGGACCTGGAATACATGTTAAATATTGATGCTTAAGAAACATAACCCCCAGAAGTTTTACATCGTATTGATGCTTAAGAAACATAACCACCTGAAGTTTTACATCGTATGTGCATGAAACACAGATAGAACCTAGGTCAAATACAAAATTAAGGAGTTAAAAGAAACATATTCAATTCATCAATACAACTTACTAGAAGGCCCTTACAGAAGTAATGGATTGACAGACAATGGGCAAGGAAAATAAAAGGATATTTGTAGCTCACCTTCCTTTTTGTAAGTGTGTTGACAGGTATCAAATTCTTTGGCTGCCGGTAGTTTCTGCCACGAAACATAATAATCGTTTTCACATTATGTATGTTAATCACTATTCCACCACTTAGTCGAGCCAGCATAGAAGCCATCTCCTTAATTTTTTCCTTGGGAAAGTTATCACAGCAAACCTGCACAGTCTCATGAAACTTCCAGTGGAGATGCATATTTTGGACAACTCCTCCAAAGACTCCACGAACACCAACAGGGACATAATTTTTATTCCTGAAACCAATCTTCTTATACGCTTGCAGTTGCTCAGGAGTCAAAAGCTCAGGATCATGCCGCGGAGATGGTAAATCTGGGAGCTCATATTTTTTCAACTTTTGAAGTAGCAAAGCCACTTTTTTCTTTGCCTACACTAGTAAAGGAAGTGAGAAGTTTGAGTTGGATTAATAAGGTTTCGTTGAGTAGATATACACAAGAATGCAACAAACTGAAGTTTGACAAATGAAACAATATGTGAAAACACAAAACACTATAATACGACTACACAAGTAAGATGGCACACTTAGCTGCATTTCTTAGAACAGTACCATGTAGACATAAGAAACAGAATAACAGTCTGACTTTTCGACATCCTGATTGATGGAATGGTAACAAGTCGAAACACTGTATGGTAGAAAGGCATGCAGAGAAAAAGTTCTTAAAATACCAACAAACACATAAAGATCATTTCAAGTGGACGTTGGAAGACTGTTCAACTTGATATCTTTAAGAGTTTAATCAATTGACTCTTATTGTGCTAGTCTAATTATAAAATAAAATAATGATCGACCCCAAGAAAGAAGCTGTGATCTGTATGCAAAGAAGAAAGTTTTACTCAGCTTCAGTAACCACAAACACACAAGCAGCAAAGCACAATTTGCTAAGTAACAAAATGGCACATTTATGGCCAAACTTCAGCACACATGATGAACTTCACCAAGAAAATTAATTCTTTCCTAAGTATTTTCTATGCACGAAAGGGTGAAGAAAAAAGAATGCAAAAGCATATCTTTCTAACGAGCAAAAATCAAAATCTGAGATGATTGCGCATCTGGGTGTAAATAATTTAAGAACAATTGAACCTACTCTTCTGAGATTATAAATTAATCGTTCTTCATCAGTCATGAGTTTCAACTTTAACTTCTTTGACCTTCGAATCTCTCTAAGGGTTTTGCTGGACTCATTTTGCATTCTGGCTGCCACTCTGCTCCTCATGCTTTTCCCTGACATCCACCGTACTCCAACATTGCAAATAGGAACTTTTACATATTTGACCGGAGAACTCATCATATTCCCACTGCTAGACATTATATTCACCGAATCGTATCTCCTCATAGACTCATGCCTGCGTTGTTCAATGTACACACTGAGTCAAATAAGTGAAAATATAGTGCTTAATTTGTGGATTGAAGTAGTCAGTTATCCTTTACAATGATTTACCCTAAACAAAACTAGAACGAGAACACAAAGATAGAGAGAGAGAGAGATGGAATATACTGCAAGGAAGATTGAGAAAATAGAGATGTTAGGGTTCTGATAGAGCGCCGTTGAGTATATCTGCAAACGAACATGACGACGGCAATGGAGAACTCAGTCACTGAGTGGTGGATATCCGCCTTCTCAGAGTTTATCAAAATTTTCCGGAGAAGAAGTAATCTTTGGATTTTGGGATACTGAGTGCGGGGATTTGGTCGGCGTGGTGGTGTTCACCGGCTAGTGGTGGCTGGCGAGGGAGAAAACCATGGGAGGCAGGAAAAATGGGCTAGTTCAGATTGGGTTAATTGTGGTATTGGTTTGGGAATTTGAAATTGGGCCACATTTGTCTCTACAAGAGAACCCAAGTAAAATTGGGTCGAGATTGAATAAGGTGAGTTGTTTGACAGGAAAATGATTATAGTTTTGACTTAATTAGAAATTGATAGTTATCATTTTCTTAATTATAAATTATATCTACATATTAAGACGAAGAGAGAGACCAACGAGTAACTGATTTGTAATAAATGTATTCGTTTTAGTATGAATACAAATGATGTAGAATACAAATACAGTTGATACAAGTCCAATTATAATAGTTTGTATGCAATTGATACAATTAATTTGTATTATATATACATCAATTGTATTGATGAACAAAATTTGTGTGGAAGACTACAAATGCAAGAATACAAATTTCATGATATTTTTATACCAAATATGTATACATTTGATACATAATACAAAAATACATTTGATATGTAATACAAATACATTTGATACATAAAATAATATACAATAATCATATTTATGTGAGATGTTTTTTGAGGCTTGAGAGAGGGGTGAGAGGCAGAGAGAGAGAGAGAGAGAAAGCAACGGCGAGAGGGAGAGAGGAAAATTGCTACAAAACTCTACATATGGCTACTAATTGTATCTTTCTAGTGATTTATATATCGTTTATATTTATTTTATTGTGTAACTTTTTTTGTTGGATTAATAAAATATTGTATTTGCATTAACTGATAAGTAATCGACTAAATAGTAACACTACGTAGGATATCATTCTTTAAATTAATTACAAGCAACATGATAAAATTACTTAAGACTATGAATAAATAAAATGCTTACTAATTTAATTAACACGTGTATTGTATATATTATGATTATATATTGTACATAAAATTTTTATGATAATCAATAACAAATAGTCAGGAATATGCTTTATAAAGTGTCAAGATAATAATAACAATAATAATAATAATAATAATAATAATAAAAGGCATGATTATTTAAAGGGCAATGTTCACATATAGCAGTCAAAAAAATCATATTTCTATATTATAATAAAGTTTGTATAATTGCGCTCCATAGCAAATATATAAATGTATAATTAACTATACATATACAATTGTATGATTCGCTGGCCTATTTCGCTGCAATTGTATAATTTGTTGGCCTATTTTGATGCAATATCTGTATAAATTTGCATTTGTATACAATTGAATCGAAGTAAAATGTTTGTATATTGTATAATTATAAGTGTATAGGAAGAAGATATATGTTTTTGCATGTGTATATACAATTTTCTCTCGCTTTATACAAAATAGAAACACAATTTATACACTTCTGTTGTATAAAGCGAAAGAAAATTGTATTTCGCTGCAATTGAATAATTCCCTGGCCTATTTCGCTGCAAAATCTGTGTAAAATTTGTGTTTGTATACAATTGAATCGAAATAAAATATTTTTACATTGTATAATTAAGTGTATAGCACGAATATATATGTTTTTGCATATATATATACATAATTTTCTCTCGCTTTATATAAATCGTTATAGTTAGACTGTATATATCTCTGCTTTATGTCATTATCCTTTTAAGCTTGTGTTAGTAAATGTTAGATTTGGTGTATATTTGACATAGGTTAATAGCAATGACGAGTGGTCATTTGGGTTCTGTGAACAAGGTACTAGAGTTTTTAGCTGTCTAGCTGGGAAAAATCCAATGTATTCGTACCGTGAAAATATTGTACTTGAAAACACAAATCACTCTATTTTCAAAGTGAACCAAATATTGAGAGAGCTTAGTAGAGAGTGGCCTGGACACTCATATGAAGCAAGAGAGGCAAGCGACACTGGCAAACAATTTGCTAAGGAACACAAATAGATCAAACGGTAGCTATTGTATATATTTTACATTATTTGTTTGCTATTCTATACAATTATCCCAATTTTAAATAACAAATAAGTAAAAAACTAAAGAAGAAGCCTAGCTAAATCAATAGTTTCACAATTTGGAAATTAAATTAATTTAAATAGAAGAAATGGATTAATCATATAAAAATAAAAGAGGAAAGGAAAATAAGAAATTCCCCACAAAACTTCCCGCCAACAATATGAGCCCAAAGACGAAATTACCCCCGTCTTATATCCAAGGAATAACGAACTTTTTCCTTTGTATAGCAGAATTGGTCTTCCCAAGTAGAGTGAAAAAGGGAATTTAATCTGAGATATAATAAGATTAGGAAAACAAATAGAAAGTATTATAATCTGATGGAGAAGCCATTAAAGTAATTAACTACTCATCAATAAGTTTAAGTATGTCCTGGAAAAAGCTCAAGTTGTTGGGCAGAGGTTCTTACGGTACGGTATCTCTTGCCACGCCGTTAACCGATTACTATACATTGTTTGCTGCAGTCAAATCCGCCCAAGATGATCGGTCGTCTTCACTCCGAGCGGAAGCACAAATATTGCATGCCCTCAGAGGGTCGGACTACGTGATTCACTGCTTCGGAGAAGATGTAAGCATCGAAAACGGTAAAAAAACTTATAACCTCTTCCTCGAGTATGCTGCTGCTGGAACTTTGAATGACTTGATTCATAAGTCGAATACGGTGCTCGGAGAAGCAGACGCTGCGTACTATGCTTTTCAAATCTTAGTTGGGATTTGTCATGTTCATCGTAAAGGATTCATCCATTGCGATCTAAAACCAGCTAATATACTTGTCTTTCCTGGCGGACAACACCGCCTTGCAAGCGTGAAATTGGCTGATTTTGGGGCATCGTTGAGATCTGAAACAAAAAGTTGTTGGGACACATCAGTGAAGAAGCGTAGTCGCTGCAGAGGGACTCTACTATACGCACCACCTGAATCTGTAGTGTGTGGGATTCAGGATAAAGGTGTTGATATTTGGGCATTTGGATGCATACTTGTAGAGATGCTCACGGGAAAGCGGGTATGGTCAGAATGTAAAAACAAGAAAGAATTAAAATTGAAGATTGAACACGAAAAACCAGAGATACCAACTAATATATCTAATGATGCGAAGCATTTTCTGAGTAAGTGTTTGGACAGAGATCATAATTGGCGATGGAATGCGGAGATGCTACTTCATCATCCATTCATCACCAACTATGTTAACAAGAAGATGATTAGTGAGTTGATCGAGCGGCCTTTTGGTGATATTGCACGACTCAGACCATTGGTTTCTATGGAGAACTTATTCACAACAACTACTTTCTATTATCATCATCATAACTCCTCCTCCGACTTGAGAGGATCGAGCAGTATTATTACAAGATCCCCCGAGACTAATAATGATAACGCAAGAGGTACAACGATAGACCAGATGAATTTCAGAAACTTACATATATATAAAATAGGGAAAATGCACAAGTATCCCCTCAACCTATGCCCGAAATTTTAGAGACACACTTATATTGTACTAAGGTCTTATTACCTTAAACTTATTTTATAAGTAATTTTCTACCCTTTTAAGCCTACATGACACTAATTTGAAGAGAGAGAAAAACCCAACCAGTATTGGGCCAACATAATAGTGTCACGTAGGCCAAAAAGTGATAGAAAATTATTAATAAAATAAGTTCAAGGGGTAATGAGACCTTAATATAATATAAGTGTATCTCTGAGATTTTAAACATAGATTGAGGGAGTACTTGTGCATTATCCCTATAATATATAATGAAAAGCTTACCTCTCACCCCTTTTTTTCATCTTGGGTGTGTGACTCTTCAACAAAGCTCAACCACCAAAGTGAAGACTAACAAGGTGATTAGGACGCTAACTTATCGAGACTACATGCATGTTCTGATGACTTATATATACTTCTCCGTTTACTTTTACTTCTTACATATTTTAATTTGATTTCTATTTTTATTTGTCATGTTGGCAAATCAATAAAGAATATTTTTTTTTCAATTATTTATACCCTCCATTTATTTATATTGAATTATGATATTTAAAAAATATAGTGAGTAAATATATTTGGGATCATATCAATTAATAGGTGAAATAGTAAATTCACTATATTCATTCTTCTTTTCTTAATAGGTGTTTCAAATCAAAATTTGACAAGTAAATCCGTGTGAAGGGAGTGTAACTAAATATTATTGGCACATTTTGTTTCACTTAAGTCAATTTAACTAATCTTCAATGCTAAATTGGATTATATAATTTAATATTTTAAACTCATATTTTAGAAAGTAAAAATCTATATGAAAATATTATAAGTGTCAATTCTTCTAAGTTCTCATGATACTATGATGAAAATATACATTTCAAAATATTAGTTAAAATTCATGATGTATTAAAAATCAAAACATAATAAGTAAAAATGAATAAATGAAATAAGATCAGTAACCATGTGATATTAGTTAACGAAGCCCATCTTTTAAAAACTTCTAATGTATGGTGTTTAAAACGTGTACAGATAGAAGTATTTGCTTCATTACGACTAGAGATGTCAAAATAGATTTGACCCACTAAGTCGGCCCAATTCAATTCCTTGAATTAAGTGAGGTTGTGCCTAATTTTATTGGCCCATTCCCAGCCTCATTTGGTTCGCTAGCCTCGTAGGCTCAACCACAAGCCTCAAAAGTTAGACCGAGGGCTATGAATATTTAAAATACTTTTTATATGTATGTTTAATAGTGTTCTATTTGTAAAGTTTTTGTCAATAAAAAAATTTAAAAATAAAAAATCAAGTCTGAAAACTAACTAGTTTTTTGTGAGAGGAATGGTGCCATGATCAACATTTTTTTTGCTAAATTTTATGTTGACTATTATGTATTTTTGTAATTATTCACCGAATTGTGTCATTCATAAATGAAAATTTGTATATGTTGATGTCGTGTTCATAGACGTCAATGTTCGATAGTCTTTCTAAGAAAGTAATATTGTTCATTATTTGGTTGAAGGGTCAACTCATCCCTACCTGTGCCACTTAGGACTAAATTGTGCTGCTATTTTATAGGCCCTTTAATTAAAAGTATCAGTCTAACCCAACCCATTTAAATCTCTAGCCCGTTAGGATTGAATTGAGTTGGATTGGATCGGATCAACCCATTTTAACTAGGACTAATATCTTATTTGAACTTCAATACACTTTGCACCTACCTAATTAATTAACCCGTGCGAAACCAATGGAACAAAAGCCAACCAGGTCTTGCGAACAACCAACTTGAGTTCATTATTATAACTTTTAAGATTTCGACTTGAAAATTACATTCCAACTACGGACATCACCAACTATATAAGCAAACTTGTAGTAACTATACTAGAAAACAGAAAAAAAATAAAAAAATGAATTGAGTGACCATTTAAGGTCAGTTGAAATTATTACATGGCCTGATAATTACACAACATAATAACTGTAATGATGTATTTATTTGTAAGAGGATAATTACGGTGTAATGTTCAATCCTATTTGATTGGACAAATGAAATTACACAATTAAATTCAAAAAATAGATTTTAAATAAATAATTTAATATTTAAATTAATTAGTGAATACAAAATTTTCTTTCTTGTGTTTATACTCAGAAACATGTTTTGGCAGAAGAATCAACTGGCATGGTCCTTCTTTTCATTTCACTCAATATTTTTTCCAGCCTCATCCTAACGTGTTCTATTTCAATATTCTAAACCTCTGTCTTCTACGCCTAAAGAAGTAAATCTATATACTGCTACACTAAGAAAACTTGTCACCTTATTCTTGTCTACATATAGAGAACATGCACACATGCATGTGCTTTTATTAGAAAAAAAATAGATGACTTCTATAATGTATTCAAAGCGTGGTAATGCAGATATTATTGGCGTATTAAAATGCACATGCTTACTGTAAAGTACTAGTTTTTATTTTATGTGTATTGCATGTTTATTCTTTATTATTATTATATTATTTAAAATTATACTATCAAATAAAAATTGTATAAATCAACATGGGACCATTCGTTAGCTACTTTGATTACAAATACATTCTAGATGATGCATTGATCAATTACAAATAATTATTTAGTTGGTAATTCTTTTATTTTGTTCTTATAATTGAAAATTATTGAAACTATAATTTTTTCTTTACTATGTTGTTATTTTAAAAAATAAAGTTAAAATACACAAAATTGTATTCATTCATCCTAAACTTATGGTTTATAATTTTGGAGGCAAGGAATCCGTATCTAATAATAACACCTTAGTCATTTGCTGCAACTCAATATGTTTGTTCTTATTATCAAAAATATTATTGACAGATAATAAGTTAAAATAGTTTAATTCAAAATTCTAAAATATCGAACAAAGTTCTAGGATCAGTTAACTAAATATATAATATGACGAAGGGCCTAAAAGTTGACAGTTACTAAGAGGGGATCTGAGATGCAATATGAGGAACAAGTCATCAATAAGTTTTAACTAGGCTTAACTTAAAGTTGCGCTCATATTTCACTAGAAACCTCAATTCGATCATATACCTATTGAACACCAACACTAAAGCTCATTCTGCTGCAGTCATTCTTCTTCTTCGCACCACCTTGATTTTTACTGAAAATTGTCGTCACTATAGTCTATACCCATTCTACTCTTTACCGTTCTTTCTCCATCATCTTCTTCGCCCTTTTCTTTTCTTTAGGCCATCGTCTATGTTCCCTATTTTACCAGTCATTGGCCCCATCACCCACCATTAACACCACCTCATTTTTCTCCAAACCTATGGCGTTAGTATCTTTCTTGTTCTATAGAATTTCAAATAATCAATCACAATTTTCAGATTTCCAAATACATATCTTTCTTTCTGTCAAATCAATTCAAGCTTAAATCAAATCTATGCGTAAGAACAAAAAAATCTTTAAAAAAAGTAGAAAAAACCAAGAGATTTAATTTTTTTTTAAAAAGTGGGAAGAAGATGAAGTGGGGCACATGCAGTAGGTAAGAGGCAGCAACATAGTTTATTGGCTCCAAAATATCATTCTCATTCAATTATTGGCTCCAAAATATTCTTTTTCATCTTTTTTTGGGTTCAAAATTTACCACTTATTTAACGATTTTAAATTTAAACTATTTAAATATTTTTTTAATACATGACGCTCAACTATTTCACTACTAAAAAAAACCAAAAAGAGACCTAAAAATGGAGATCTCAAAAATAGGTCAATAATAAGAGACCTCATGAGGTCGCTATTTAAATTAATATCTTTTAATTTTTTTTAATGTAGAAGACACCTCGTGAGGTCAATATAATGAATATTTTTTTTTTCATCTGACTTATTTAAAAATTTTAAATTTTTAATTTAATTCTCATAAAATTGGAGACCTCATGAGGTTTCTAATTTTTCAACTATTCAATTAAATTAAATTATTATTTTTAATTTAACAAGTTGAGACCTCATGAGGTCTCTACTTGTTAAATTAAAAATAATAATTAAAAATATTTAAAAATTTAGAAACCTCAAACAACATAAAAAACCTAGCCAAAATTAAAATAACTCTTTCTTCCCTCTCTCTTAATTTTTGGTCACGACTGCGCGCCTCTCTCTCTTTCTTACTGCTCGCGACCGCCTCTCTCTCTTTCTCACTGCCCTCGCGACCCTCTCGCTCATCGCGACCCTCTCCGCCGCCAGCTCTCACAGCAGCAGCACTGCCCTCGCGACCCTCTCCGCCGCCAGCTCTCGCAGCAGCAGCACTGCCCTCGCGACCCTCTCGCTCATCGCCAGCTCTCGCAGCAGCAGCAGTCGCCTCAGCAGTGCCTCCATCTCCAGGTAAATTTATTTATTTTTGGTTATTGAAACTAAATGTGTTAGATCATTGAGGTGTTTGAGGTTAATTTGATTGTATTATTATATATTTATATCTCATTGTGATATTGTAACTTTGCACATATACTTATGTTATGAATCTTTAATGAAAAGAACCTATTGGTAAAATGTGTGTGATACTACCTTGATCTAATAAGCTGAAAATTGTATTGAACCTTTGACCACTCATAATCGTTTGCTGCCATAATATGTTAGGGGCATACACATGCTGCCATAATATGTTAGGGGCCCATACATGTTGTCATAGTATACATTTGAGGCATATATATATGTTGGCATGGACTGTCAGGGTGCTGTGTTAATTTCCTACACAGTCGTTTATGACAAGTCTCATGGCTCATTCGCAGGTTGTTTTGGAAGTATGTTTTAACGGTGACAATTATGAACCTATTGACATAGTTAATAAAGGCTTTATTAGATTTACATGTATATGACGACGCTTTGCAACCTTCGGCAGGTTTGACTTGTATACCTAATAGGATTTAAGATGCAAGGATTACTATGGCATAGGATGCAATTGTTAAGCATAAGTACCAATACTAGTTGATCCTATTGATGACAAAATTGATTTTCTTTTGAAAATCAATTTGTGTCCATCTAGTGTTGACACTTAGCTTTAAATTTAGATATAATTATTTGCTAAGTATAAGTGTCAACACTAGTTGATCCTATTGATGACAAAATTGATTTTCTTTTAAAAATCAATTTGTG